AACAGTTGTCTCCCTCAGCTGTTTTCTACTGATGAAGTACAGTTCAATTTTCAACTATAAAGAAGTTAATTAATAAACTTTTAACTAACACTCTATAAATTCTTTGTACAACTCCAGAAAAGTTAAAGGACTCATTTCACCCCCAACTGCTAGACTAGTCTAGAAGAACTCCCTCCTTCCACAAAAATAACCGTGATACTTATAGGTATATTGTGCGACTCCTCTCACCTTTCTCCCTATGTTATATGAAACTTTACCAACATGGACTTCTATGTGCTCTTCTGACAAAGGCCACTCTAATCTGTCAAACACGTGGCATTAGGAATCTTATTCACTAGCACCTTCTTCACTCACTGCATGCTTCTCTACTGTTAAGATAGCTGTCTGTTGTAGTCTTTCCATAAAGGAAACCTCAAAAGCACACTGTATTTAAAATGAATATTTATCTTGATTAATAATTCAAGATCACGAATGCTAGAATTCAAAATGTAATTATTTAATCTTAAAATTGTTCTGCAATAGTTTTTGGGTTTTTTCAAAAATCACATTCTTAGCATTATACAACATAAACCATTGAGTTGATTCTGGCAATTAATATTCAGTATAAGTCAGTCTTTTCTATGACATATATTGTTGGAATTTTTAAAGTCATTTTTTAAGTTATTTAAATTTTGCACAGTGAGCAACTATACCAAGCTGTACAGCAGAATTTAAGCTTGAAAAACTAAGCTATTACCAGACAAAAATTATAGAATTATCAGGGAACAAGCAGATTCAGTTAATGAAATGAAATAAGCTTGCAGATTACTCTTATATTTATTTAACCTTATAATGTTATATTGAACATTGATAAGGCGTTATTTTACTTATGTCTTTAATTTTAAAATGCTGTTGATTAAAAGTTATATTCTAGTTAGTGTTTTGATAATGTTGTTGTTTTTAAGTTCCGTCGAGTTGCCTGCGACTCATAGCCACCCTGTGTACAACAGCCCTGATCCCTGCCCTATCCTAAATCAATCTTGTTGTCTCTGACACACCTACCTCGATTACCCCAGTGACTGAATCAATCCATCTCATCGAGGGTCTTCCTCTCTTGTGCTGTCCCTCCACCCTCTCAAGCATGACGTCCCTTTCCAAGGACTGATCCCTCTTTACAACATGTCCAAAGTATGTCAGACAAAGCTTCAGAATCCTTGACTCCAAGGAGCAGCCCGGCTTCACCATCTCCAGAACAAGCTCCTCTGGTTCCTTAGCAGTCCGTGGTACGTTCATTACTCTTCTCCAACACCACAGCTCAAAGACATCAATTCTCCTTCTGTCATCCCTGGTCATTGTCCAGCTTTCTGATGCATAGCAAGTAATTGCAATGACCGTGGCCTGTTTCAGGGGCACTTTATTCTCCAGGTTGACATTGTTGATCTTCAGTACTTTGGAGAAGTCTCTGACAGCAGACTATTTTTCCAATAGAATTTATCTTTTAATTTCATGGCTGCTGGTACCCAGAGTGTTGATTGTAGAGGGTTTTAAAAAGTGTAATTGTGAGAATAATTTATATTTTTACTACTAAGAGAAACTCAAAACTTTTTTTTTTTCAAAACAGATGAAGGGACACATTTTTCGATTGCAATACATTGTTTTCTTCTTGATTGTTAGATCAAATGCAAAGGATTTGTAAGCCATATAAATTGTATCTTAGCTCTGATCACTTTAGCCTAAATATAACATGTTTATTTAAATAACACTCAGATGATGTTTGACTATGAACAGACCACATTATTTGTTTTATTTTTTTTAAATATTTTGTATTTTTTAATATAATTCCTTTACATTATATTTCATTCATGTACACAGTGTGTTTTATACGATCTTTCATTTACATTGTCTTTCATATATCATTCATATACATTCTGTTTTACATTGGGATGTTTTCCTCTTTTTATTTAAATTTTATACTGGTTTATACACAAAGTTCATCAAGTTTGTATGCATTGTTTTTCACAGTGAATCTTTCTTCTTTGCTTTACCCACCACTCCTTCCACCCATCAAATTCTGTGACTCTCTGATTAAGCCTCCCCTATCCTTGGATCCTCGAATGGGAAAATAACAACCTCTTCACCAAATGGTGCCTGCAGAACTGGACTGCACCTGCAGAAAGCTGAAACAGGATCCACATCTCACATCATACACAAAAATCAACTCAAGGTGTATTAGATACCTGAGGATAAAGCCTAAAACCCTAAAGCTCATAAGAGACAAGCTGGGACCAAGCTTAGAAGGCCTAGTCTATGCTATAAAGAGACAGGAAAATAAAGCCAGAAATGAACACTCTAAAGAGAATAAAATTGATGAATGAGGCCTTCTAAAGATTAAATCTTTGTGCTCATCAAAACTTTTTTCCAGCAAGGTGAAAAGAAAACCTACTGACTGGGAACAAATATTTGGCAATACCATCTCAGACAAGGGTCTCATCACGAAAGGTTACAGAATGTTACAGGGCTTCCAGAATAAAAAGACTGATGATCCAATTAGAAAATGGTCAAAAGACATGGAAAGACTTTTCACAGAGGAGGACATTCAGATGGCCAACAGACAGATGAAGAAATGTTCTAAATCACTGGCAATAAGAGAGATGCATATCAAAACCACAATGAGATACCCTCTTACCCCAGTAGCAGTGGTTAAGTTTAGCAAGGCAGCAAGTAATAGATGGTGGAGAGGATGTGATTAGATAGGAACTCTTATACATTGTTGTTGGGATGGTAAAGTGGTGCAGCCACTCTGGAAGGCAATTTGGCATTTCTTCAAAATTTTGGACATAGAAATTCCATATGACCCAGTTATTCCACTGCTTGGGATATACACTGAGAAAAGGAGAACTGAGGCACAAATAGAGACTTGTACACCAATGTTCATAGCAGTGTTTTTCACCATTGCAAGACCATGGAAACAGCCCAAATGCTCAAACACAATGGAATTGACTGAGAAATGATGGTACATTCTCACAATATAATATTATGCAGCAAGCAGGAGCAGTGATTTTGTAAGTTACTACCTAATATGAGAGGGACTGGAGAGCATTATGAAGAGTGAACTCAGTCTCATAAGGACAAATACTGTGTAAGACTTTTTTAATTTTATTAACTGAAAATGATCATTCTAAGTAGGGTGATAAATGACATTTTGCCATAGGGGGCTTTCAATACTAAAAATAGGAAATTCCTGGACAAACCAGTTCAAGTTGGTCACTGTAGTAGCTTGACCCACTGCCATCATGTTAGGTCCTCTTCATAACTACCTTAATCCTAGTTACCAAAGCTTTAAGTGTTTATAAAAGAAGATGTTTTTTCATGGAGTGGCTAGTGAGTGCACACTGCTGACTTCATTTAGTGAACCGAAAGGATCCCAGTGTGCCACTAGGACTCCTTGGAGAGCTGAAGTATTCATTGTTGCTAGTCAGAGAAATAGATGTGTAAAAATGTTGTTTAATTTGTTCTCCCTTATCTCTGCACATGCAAATTGTACCCTTAAAATTCAGCTTAAATGCTACGTTTTCCTCAGAAGCTGGGAATAATCTCTCTTGTTTGGAATTCACATAGCATTTTGTCTGTACCACTCTTCTTCCACTTAGGACTTTAAAAGGCCTTTATCAGAGTTATCTATTAACGTATTTTATCTTTGACACTACATGATACTTTAGGATGTGATATGTGATTTATCTTTTATCCCCCATAGCTTCTAGCACTGTACTCCACACTTACTATATCAGAAGATTTATTAAATGGAATGAATGAGTCTACAAAGTGAATAGATTATGTTGATAGTATGAGATATCACTGTGGTGTAATGTGGGAAAATACTGATTTGGGATTCAGAAAGCCTGTTTTAGTTCTCTTTAATAATTTCTAAATAAATTTCATGATTTTGAACTTTTAATTTCTATGTATGAGTATGTGTGTGTTTTCTAGCATCCTCAGCCAAAAGCTGGGTTTCAGTTAAATCTTCACTGTTTAGTGTTAGCTAGTTCATCTACTTTTCTCAAGAACTGATTCACACTCTTAGCATCTCCTGTAGAGAAACTATAAAACCCTTCCTCTCTTTTGTTAGAAGATTACAAAACTACTTCACTAAGAATATATGAGTTACAGAAAGAAACTCCTTTACATCATGCTCATAGAATCGTATGCATAGGTCGAATGTTGTTTCATTTGTAAAGATTTATAGTTGTCAGGAAAGAATGGACAACTATGCTTGTTTTAGTTCATAATTAAAAATCTTATATATAAATGACACAACAGAAATTCAGCATATTTTGACCACTATTTGGAGCTTTGGTGGCCTATTGGACAGGGAATTGTAGTGCCAACTCAAACATACACTCTTCCACCATTGGTGTGCAGGAGAAAGAACGACTGTCTCCTCTGCAATTTACAGCCTCGGAAAACCTGCTGGAGAGTTAGCTGTGAACCAATTATGATTCAGTGACAATTAGTTGGTTTGTGGGGTGGTTTTTACCTTAGATTTGGATTAACCAGGAGCTCTGGTGACAAAGTACAAAACATGTGAAGTTATTAATGAAAAGATCAGAAGCTTGAATCCACTGTCAGATCCACAGTAAAGTTATGGGCAGTATCCTCCAGTAAAGATTTATAGCCTCAGAAACCTAATGGATGGCACTGGATTTTGTTTGTTTAACACAATTTGTATTGACAACCCTCTTCCCTGAGAAACGAATAAAATGTGTGGATTTTTTAATTTAAAACACTGCTATTATTTAATTCATATTTACTATACAGTAGATTTTATAGGAAAAATGTTGATAGAAAGTTTTCTGTTTCTTTCTTTGTAAATATACCTGAAAGCACTTAAAGGAACAAATCCATCAGTGGTTCTAAAATTTCTATTAAAATATGTAAAAATATTTCCTTCAATTCTCAATTAAATTATGATTGTTATGCAAACTTTGATACATTTTTATGACCCAGTTTTCTATTGTTTTTAGCTGCTGATGCAAATGTGAAGAATGAAAGTCTTTCATCTGTGCAGCAGCTTGGCATTGAAATGACTGTCAGGTATTATTATAGAAAAATATCTCTGGTGCATTTGTAGAGTTTGTATTATCTGCCTTATAGGTGATTAATAGTATTTCATTTAACACTCTACAATTTTGTGTACTTTAAATGCAAAGTTTATCATTCATAAAATAATAACTTGGTTTTTTAAGATATTGGCACATTACCTGTACCGGTAAATCAGTTACAGTTCGTTATTATTCCAGAGGCTAATTATACTGTATTTAAGGCTCTATGACTATCAGGTTTTCTCTAAAAATAACGTTTGGAAAAGCAGCATATTTGTAGCACAATCATACCATTTTGTAAAATGTGATTAGTCCTAATTGTCAAGCTAGGGTGATCAGCCCACAAGTGCCTAAAGGACAGATGCAAAAATAAAAAGCAATGAACTAGAACTATTATCATTTGAATTTTTTAAATGTTTTGAAAAAAGGATAAGCTAAAAAGTGAGAGACTGAGTGTTAAGGATTGGATTCTTGCTTGCTTGTTAAATGGGACGTTTTACAGTTCTAGTCTATTTACATTGTTGTCTTCAGAATAAAATCTAAAAAGATGCATGTAGACGCTGTTAAAATAATAATAGTTTTATAAATTAATAGAAATCTGAAAATAATATTAATTCTACTTAACATGCTGCATAAATAAGACATGTTCCCATTTTGACCATGTTTTGTGACCCTCTGTTTCTTCCATTATACAAATATTTATAATGACTCAAACAATTTTGAATTTAAATCTATTGATAATATATAATTTTGATTTAGAGGGAGCTTTAGTGGCTTAAGGTAAGGAATTGAACTGCCAGTGCACAGGTATGTCATTTGAATCCTGTAGCTGCTGCATGGGAGAAAGGTGGGTAAACTCTGTGTGATTTACTCCCTCTGAAAACCCATTGAACAGTCAGCCATGGGTTGATTCTGACTTCCTGGTGCACAACTACAACTTTTTAATTTGGAATCTATAGATAATATGTTGTTGTTGCTGTTGTGTACCATGGAGTCAGAACCGACCCATAGCTGACCCTCCAGTGAGTTTAACTCATTTACAAGGATTATGTGGAAAGTGATTTGTAATAAAATACTTAGTTATAACTGAAGGATAAGAAATAACAGGCACCTATATGTAGAATCTTTAATGATCCACCAGGTGCCTTTTAGCCCTTGGGCCTAGTGGCCTTCGGGTATGTACTAAACCAACACTGAAGGACCAGCTGTGCCAGTACCCCCATCCAGACCCCCATTCGGCTGTGCTATAATGGGCCCCAGCCATAGGCTGAAAAAGTGTGCCATAATATTTGTATGTGTGATTGCCTTTATGATTTCCTTTTAGAGGTACAACACTTATCTGTCGGTTCAGGTATTGCAGAATAATTTGCATGTTGCCAATAACTTTATATCTTAGATATGTACAGTTTTATTGTTTGTTGTTATGTGCCGTCAAGTTTCCTGCGACTCATAGCAACTCTAAGTACAACAGCTCTCTATCCTGTGCCAATCTTATTGTCTCTGACACACCTGCCCTCATAACCCCGGTCACTGAATCAATCCATTTCATCGAGGGTCTTCCTCTCTTGCACTATTTAGGTATTATTATTTGCTCCTCTAGTACAACACTCTTCTGTCAGAATAATGTACTAACTTAGTTTATAGGATGCTGTAGTGCTGGAATCTGTGTCTGTACTTTTTCTGTTTCCAGAAGGGTCACTCATGATGAGGTTGAAACAGACCTCCCAGATTAAGAAAGAATTAGAAGAAGAATTAACCTTCTGAAGAAACAGGCCTTCAAAAGCCCTACGAGCAGACAGATGTAGGTAGTTATAGTTGTTGTTGTTGTTATGTGCTGTCAGATCACCTCCCGACACATAGTGATCCTATGGACAGCAGCTCTGAAGCCTGCCATGTCCTGAGCCAGTCTCACTGACTCCAATACACCTACCCACATTGCCCTAGTTACTGTATCAGTCCATATAATCTGGGGTCTTCTCTCCTGCGCTGCCCCTCCACCCTTCAGAGCATGATGTCCTTCTCCAAGGATAAGTACCTACTGGCCACATGCCCAAAGTATGTGAGACAGAGCTTTAAAATCCTAGCCTCCAAGGAGAAACTTGGTTTTACCCTATACAAGACAGACTTACTTATTTTCTTGGTGGTCCATGGTATGTTCAAGACTCTTCTCCAGCACCACAACTCCAATACATAGATTTTTCTTCTATTTTCTTCAGTCATTATCCAGATCTCTGATGCATACAATGACTAGGGATGATAAAAGGATAATTGATGCCTTTGAGCTGTGGTGTTGGAGAAGAGTATTGAATATACCATGCACTGCTAGGAAAACGAACAGGCTTGTCCTGGAGAGGGTGAAGCCGGGCTGCTCCTTGGAGGCAAGGATTCTGAAGCTTCGTTTGACATACTTTGGACATACTTTGGACATGTTGCAAGGAGGGACCAGTCCTTAGAGACGTCATGTTTGGGAGGATGGAGGGACAGCGCAGGAGAGCAAGACCCTCGATGAGATGGATTGATTCAGTGACTGGGGTAATAATGGGGGCAGGTGTGTTGGAGATGGTGAGATTAGCAAAGGATAGAGCAGAGTTTAGGGCTATTGAACATACGGTCGTCATGAGATGCAGACAACTCGACGGCACATAACAACAACAACAACAACAATGGACTTGATTAGGCGCATCTTAGTCTCTAGACTGACATCATTGCTTCTCAGTATTCTGGAAAGGTCCCTGACAGCAGATTTACCTAATGCTTATGTTAGATGCAAAGTCCAGATAGGAAGTTTCTGAAAAATGAGTATAAATGGCTACAAACAGTCATTAATAATTGGAACATTTGTTATACAAATATGAATGTAGGAAAAATTGAATGGAACACATGAAGATAGACATTTTAGCCATCAGTGAACTAAGAGAACCATGTTCATGACAGCATTATTCACCATAAAAAGAACATGGATACAATATGAAGAAGAACATAGCAAAAACATGCAACAGCCCAAATGCCCAACCACAATGGAATCAATTGAGAAATTATGATATATTCACACAATTGAATACTATGCAGCATGCAGGAACAATGACTTTGTAAATTACAACCTAACTTAGGAGGGATTGGGGAACATTATGATAAGTGAACTATTTTAGTCTCATAAAGATAAATACTGTATAGGACCATTATTGTAAAACAAATGTGAGGATCCAAAGAGGGGGAGCAGAGGGGTGAGGATGGGCAAGCTGTGTTGTTGTTGTTATGTGCCATCGAGTTGCTTGCGACTCATAGCGCCCTTATGTACAACAGCCCTAAACTCTACTCTGTCCTGTGCCAATCGCACTGTCTCTGACACTCCCATCCTGAATACTCCAGTCACTGAATTGATTCACCTCATAGGGGGCCTTCCCCTCCTGCATCGTCCTTCCACCCTCCCAAGCATGATGTCCTTCTCCAAGGACCAGTGTCTCCTCACAACATGTCCAAAGTATGTTAGACGGAGCCTCAGAATCCTTGCCTCCAAGGAGCCACCCAGTTTAATTCTCTCCAGGATGAATCTGTTTGTTTTCCTAACAGTCCATGGTATTCTCAATACTCTTCTCCAGCTCCACAGCTCAAAGGCATCAATTCTCCTTCTATCCTCCTTGGTCATTGTCCAACTCTCTGATGCATAACAAGTGATTGTGAAGACGATGGCCTGTATCAGATGCACCTTAGTCTCCAGAGAGACACCATTGCTCTTCAGTACTTTGGAGAGGTCCCTAACAGCCGACTTTCCCATGTCAAAGCGCCTTTTAATTTCCTGGCTACTGGTGCTGATAGTGTTGACTGTGGAGCCAAGCAAATCTCTTCACCATCCATCCTGATGCTGCCAATTGGTCCAGTGGTGAGAATCTTTGTCTTCTTGACACTGAGCCTCAATCCATTGGAGGCTGCAGTCCTTGACCCTCTGCAGCAGGTGCTTCCAGTCCTCCGAGGGGGGCTCAATCATAGGTTCACATAATTTGATGGTTGGAGGGAGAGCTGGCTAAAGGAAAGGGGAAAGATCCATTGTGAAAAAACAATGTATTAGAACTTTGTAAATAAACTAATATAAAATAAAATTTTAAAAAAAGTAGTTAGAAAAAAACAGAGAAACATCTTTTTCTGGAATCACCTTGTTACTACAGATTTTCTGAATGCTATTTGTTTTTACCATTCTTCATTTTTAATTAAAGATAGGCAATTAAACTCAAAAGCTTTGGAAAACAAAACAGAAAACAAGATAGACATCCATGGGGATAATAAGACGATCACATGATCTATTGTGCTGGGAATGAAAAGTTGAGGGAAAACGTTACTGTCATAATTGAAAAGGAAATTTCATGATTCATCCTGAAGTACAATGCTGTGAGTGATAGGATGCTATCCCATAAGCTGATTAGGAAGACCTGTTAATACTACTGTAATTCAAATATATGCACCAATGATTAAAGCCAAAGAGGAAAAATTTGAGAATTTCTACCATCTTTTTGCAGTCCAAGATTGACCAATCATGCAATCAAGATGCATTAATAATTCTTAGATTTTTAACTACGTCTTATTAGTTGCCTTTCTAATTTTACAGAAAAATGACCTTATACAGTCCTTATTTGTCCTTATGACAAAAAAAAAGTTAGTTAACTGAGAATAATTTTCTCCAGTCTCTCCCATGTTGTATAATATTATTTCCTAATAATATAATAATATTTCATAATTATTTGCTCCAGAGTGCTGCATAGTATTCCATCATTTGTATATTATTTCATAATAATATAATAATATTTCATAATAGTTATTCCTGAGTGCTACATAATATTCCATCATGCGTGTGGCTCTCCAAAATGAGAATGTTCTTTTTATCTAAGATTCAAAAATGTATTAAATACTAGTATTGTAAACATAAAGAACTCAAATTTATTGATGTCAAATCTGAACTGACTCATAGCTAATCCTTCAGCAAGTTTTTCAAGGCTGTAAATTCACGTACTTTGGGCACATGGCACACCTTGAGAACTCCCTTGATTTAAATTTATTAGCATTTAATGTATAAGACAATAGACAAAAACCGTAGTATGTAAATAGAATTAATTATAAATAGGTTTTTATTCACGCAAGTAATAGTGCAAGTTGTTTTCATACTGGGAATGTCCCATGTCAATCTCCTGGCCATAACCTTCTGAATACCATTAACCATTCCCAGCGCCATTCTGATAGTTAAAATACTTCCGTACATAATTAAAGTGGTTTGTGGTGAAATACTTCACTGAAAATCATTGGACTATATGAATTCTAAATTTCTAAGTTTCTAAATTTTTTTTCTGTATCTGTCCAGTTACAGAAATTTAATTTTTTGGAATAGGCACTAATGCATTAGAAGAATTGATTTTGTAGTGCATGTTCTGATTTTTTCATTTACTATGCTTTGTGTGTTATTAATTTAGGTATGGTAAGTTCCTCAACCTCTTGAACGATGGTGCTGAAAATCAACTCTCCTTGGTCTTAAAGCATTGTGAGAGGTTCCTGAAACAGCAGCAAGCTCCTGTGAAATCTTCTTTTCATATCCTTTTTAGTAAACTTTCTTCATATATTTTTTCTAATTCTTTAGAGTGCTTTAACATATTTTCATCTTAGTGATACTAAACTATCTTAGTGATGATAACCTATATTAGTGATTTATTTGTTGTGATATTGTTTTCTATCATTTTGATTCTGTATTTAAAGTATGCATTCTGTTACATGGAATCATAATTATTAGATTCAGTCTTATTTGTGGAATATTAAAGTCATATCTTCAGACTAAGAAAGTTTAAAAATAGACTCTGTAATGGCAGAATAAAAAGACTTTCTGTATCCTTTATCATTCCATCCAGCATGCTAGCTTTCAGAAATGGTGCTGGACTTTTAATATATAAGTTTTAATGTGTATGACAAGTATTTGTATTACTATATTCTAAAGAAGTGTTTGTATCAGAGAGCTCTGGTGGACTAGTGGTAAGAAACTGCGCTGCAATCACAAAATCATGCAGTTCAAATTCACCAGCTCCTCCACAGGAGAAAGATGGTGCAATTAAACTGTCTCTAAAAACCCACAGAAGGATCAGATATGGGTTGGTTCTGACTTGCTGGTACTCAACAACAACAAAAACAATCTTTTATATTGAAAATCTAGTCATTTAGAATTTCTTGAGAGTTAAAAAATCACATATGTTAACATAATTTTCTAGGTAGAAACTGTACCTATATTCTATGATTTCAACTACATAGAGGAAGGTACTCATTTTAATGTGTTAAGCAAATCTGTTTCCATAAAATGGGTTATTTTACCTTAGTTCTTAGCACTGTTACCCTCCAGCAGGCATATAAGTTTATACTATTTTTTAAATAGTTTCCAGTTAAGTGATTAATTTTCATTAGTAATAGCTTCATTTTACTTCGGTAGTTTATAAACTGTCGTTGTTGTTGTTCTTGTTGTTATGTGCTGTCGAGTGATTTGCGGCTCATAGCGACACTATGTACAACAGCCCTAAACCTTACTCTATCCTGTGTCAATCGCATTGCCTCTGACACACCCATCCCAATTACCCCAGTCACTGAATCAATCCACCTCATAGAGGGTCTTCCCCTCTTGCGCTGTCCCTCCACTCCGGCCAGCATGATGTCCTTCTCTAAAGACCTGTCTCTCCTTACAACATGTCCAAAGTATGTCGGACGAAGCCCCAGAATCCTTGCCTCCAAGGAGATGCAA